CCAATAATACGGAATATATCCATTGTGTAAATGTAAAAATATGTGCATATTGTGTTATTTTAACAGTTTTTTCAGTTATTTTAATAATTTAATTAGAGTTTAATTAATACAACAGTAATATGTTAAATTAACACATGAATGTGTTAAATATTTAACACAAAAATTTTAACCGGCATATTTTTTAACAAGAAAACAAATTTTCCAACTGTGTGTATATAAATACGTTTATATATAATTTAAAAAAACTATGTATATGTGTAATATGTATTCGATGCTTGGCGTATAAAGCATGCTTTATATACAGAATCACAATAACAAATACAAAAAAAGACTCTAATCACATTTGATAAATTGATCTGACTTGGGTCTTGTCCCTGACATGACGTAGCTCGGCCGTCATCCACGAAGGTGCGACAAAGTAATCCGAGATAAATATACACTCGAGTTTATCGACAAGCACGTCCCGCGGGATCGCATCAAAGATGTCCGGCGACCAGGAAGAAGAGAGGAACAAACGAGACGTATAAGAGGGAACATTTTACTAAAAGAAAAACGTTAAATCCTTATTCTCAGTCTGCGCGGCGATTATTCTTGATCCGCAGGACGTACCGTGTGTTCCTGTCCAACGAGATTCGAGAAAGAGAGACACCGTGCGATCTAGCAACGACTGCTGAGACGAACAGAGACGACGCTCGAGATCGAAGAGGAGAAACGCTCGCGCGGTGGAGGAAACGACACGAAAGGGGGGCAGGCAGGACAGAGAACAGGAGAGGAGAGATGAAACGCTCGTCGAAGCGGAAGCAGCGCCGACGGAGTCGATATCGCGTAGAAACGAGACGGAGAACGTGACAGCTGGCATCGTTGATGGTGTTGGTGACGGCGGACGCACCACGCGGTATCAACGATGCGAGGAACGATGCTAAGTGTGTGATGGTAATGGTCGCCGCGCGCGATGGTGATGGTGATGGTGATGGTGGTGGTCCACCGCGCGTATATCGTGCTACGGAGCGCAACTCCAACACTTGTTCCACGCACGAAGGAGTGAGGAAAAGGAAGCGAGAGAGAGAGAGAGAGAAGGAGAATGAACAAGAAAGCGAGAGAAAGAGAGACAAACCTGCCCCCTCCTGCCGCGGGCGGCGCCACTCGAGGAGATCCTTTCCTCTTTTCGCCTCTAGGCCATTCTCGAGAGGCGTGCGCGCCAACGCGGTGTCGCTCGATCGGGATCCTCGCCGACCTTCGACCAATACGCGGTCGTTTAAAAAAGAGTGCATACCGCGGCTTTTCACCGAACGATTTTTCCGAAAGTGACCTCGCGCCGTGGTTCCCGCGCACCGTCCCTCCCGCAATCGCCGGTCGGATCACACGTTAATTCAACGACGGACGTCTCCTCTTCGCCCCCCACGTGACATAGTGCACGACCACGTGGCCTACGATTGATCGATCGCGTCCTCGACGCGGGATGTCAACATTTCGAAACGCTACCGAAGGAGAAGGATCCCGGAAAAGCGGTGATTTCCGCGCAGTTTAGCAGTGTCTCTTCGGAACGTGATTATATAAGCGGAAATGATGATGTTTATGTGTAATGCGCGAATCAAGCGTTGACAGTGAAGATTTTTCAAATCGTAATCGCTGGACAAGAGATAGATCTTTTCAGCGAAAAAAGAAAAAAAGATATTAAAATCGTCGTGAACGCGTAATTTTTATTACGGAAGATTGAATAACATCGGCCTCGTAAACTGAGAGAGGATATCAGAGCATGTCTACACATCGTGCGCGTCGATCAATCCACGGTATCTCGCTACCGTTCACCTTCTTCCACGTCTCGATTCCGCGAGTGAAATCTGGCCGGGTCGAGCGGCCAAGCATGCTGTCGATTGTGAGAACGATAGCCGACACCGGTTCGCCACCAAGGAACTAGCCTAGCCACGTGACTTTCGACGGCGGCCCGCAATTTCTGCGTCGTTTGACACATGCGAGTATACGCCACTGGATGTCGTTGGATCTGAATGCCG